CATTCTTGCACCCACCTGGTGGGGTGGGGGTTTCCGCAGCCCCTTGCAAGACAGGGGACGGGGCAGGGGGAGGTGGGAGCCAGAGCACTGGGGCCACTGGCCGGGGGCGGGCGGGGGGAGAAGGCGGGCAGAGGCCTCTCCCTGGGGCTGGCCGGGGAAGACACTTAAAGGCGCAATCCCGGATGTGGCTGCCGAGTGAGCTAGCAAGCCAGCGAGGGAGGGAGGGAGGTGAGCTGCTGACCCAGCACCGCCTGTCCACTGGCTGCTGCGCTGCTGGGAGGCCTCCCACCCTTACCTGGTCCACCCCCCTCTCCCTGCACCGTCTCACCCCTCCTCTCTGCCCCGCCCTCCTCTCCTGCCCACTCCCTGCTCCCGCAGTGAAACCTGAGTGTGGTCCAAACCTGGATGAACCGGGCAGGTGCCCAGCTGGGCTGCCTGTGGCCCTTGACTCCTCCCCCTCCTGGGGGGGTGAGGGAGGGGAGGGAAAAGGCAGAGAGCAGTGTGTCGGCCAGCCTCGGGGCCCCTGGCCGGGTGGTCCTGCGCTTGCCCAGACTGCCTGGCCACATGCCCCTCCTTGGGAAATCCCAGCACTGCTAGGCAGGCTGGCTGCTCCCCTCCACTGTGGCCTTGATGCCCAGGCGGGCTCCTGAGCCAGGGCCCAGCCCCATCCACACACACACTCCAGAGATAGCAATGGCTTTGGAGGCGGGACAGTGTGCTGGGGACGGGGGAGCTACTTTGGGAGCCTCAGGAGGCTCAGCACCGCCCTCCGCAGGCTGGCTTGGTGCAGGGGTGGCTGCAGGGCTGGGCGAGGCCAGAGAGCAGGGTGGAGGGGGCAGCTGCTCTGAGCGATTTCTCTCCGTGAGAGCCGGGGCCAGGCCGGGTTCACTGTGGCCCCTGGATGAGACTAGGCAAATGGGGGCGGGGACTCAGGGGAGGCCGCACCCTGGGCTCCAACAGAGGACAGGGCTTCCTGCTGAGCCAGGGTGGAGTGGGGGGGGGCATGTAACAGGGACCTGTGGCCCCTGGGGGTTGCAGAAACCAAGGTGGGGGGGGGGGCAGAGTGGGCTTTTCTTTGGGAAGAGGGCTGCATCCCACAGCGGGAGGCAAGAAGTCAGGGCAGCCCCAGATCCAGCCCCTGGGGTGTGGGGTCAAGGGATGGCCTCCCACCGCCCACCTGGGTGTCCACCGCCCCCGCCCCCCACCGGGACCCTGCCTGGAATCTGAACCCAGGCCTCCAAGTTGGGTTGGATCATTATCCTAGGGAGATGCCCCCTCCTGCTCGCCCAGCAGCGGAAGGGTTGCCATGGAGACCAGCGGGCAAGCCCCAAGGGGGCCCCGGGCCGGAGCCAATTATTGTGGCAGCTGCAGCAGCTGCCAAGGAGAGCCCACCCCGGGAACCCTCAGAAGTTGGGAAAGCCAGGAACTGAACCAAGCCTGAGCGCCCAGAGCCGCCACCCCATCCCCACCCCGCATGGGGGCCTCTGGACGGAGACCCCAGAGCATCCACCCCCACCCCTCCCAACCCTGCAGCAGGGCCCAGGCTGGTGAGCACTACTCCATGGAGTCAGCTGCCCCCAACAGCCGCTGGCCAAGTTCAAGGCCTGGAGCCATCCACAGGACACACGGCGGTATGGCAGGTGTAGTCACCACGTGTCTCGGTCGGAGGCGGGGCGTGGGCGGCTCAGGTGGGCTCCACTGTCCCCCACCCAGGTCTTCCTGCGGCCATAGCTTGGATCCTCCTCAGGGACAGCAGGGGAGGACCCTGGTCAGACCTACTTTCCCTGGCAGGGAGGGGCGTAACAGGGGAGGAGGGTTATTCGCAGTTTGAACAGAAGTCCGGGGACCTTTTCCTGCACAGCTGCTGGGAGTGGGGCAGGCAGAGGCCCCCCGAAGGGGGAGCTGTGGGGAGCTGCTCCCAGGCCCTGGGCGCCAGATTGTGGGCATGTACCCAACCTGGTGACCACATGCACACCTGGCTTGCAGGAGCTCAGACATAAGGGACCCGGTGGGGCCAGGGACCCAGTGCGTGGGGGGGGGGGGGGGGCTGGGGGGTGTCACAGTTAGTGGGCGTGGGAGAAGCTGGCCCTTGGTCCTCCCCTTCCTCCCTCTGGGCTCCAACCCCAGCTCTTCACCGGCCCCCTCCAGTCTGCAGAATCCTGCTTTGAGTTAGCTGCCAAGGAAGGTGTTAGCTGTCAATGCAGGTGTTAGTTGTCAATGCAGGTGTTAGCCGATAACTCAAGTGTGAGCTGATAAGCCACAACCCTCAGGGTGGCGGGGGCAGGGGGGAATTCATGTTTTAATTGACTGAAGGCTGCAAGAACCCCAGCATTCAAAGGTGGGGGGGAGGTCTCATGGCTGAAGCGTGCCCCTGGGGTGTGGGCCCTGCTGGTGAGGTGAGCTCTGGGGATGGGGAGCCCCTTGGAGGAGGAAGAGGGGAAGGTGCGGGCTGTCCCTGCTTGGGGAGGGCAGCTGGGGCGTGCAGTGAACTCCTCCCCCAGGGAGAAGACAGCAGAGAATGAGGCCAGGGAGAGGAGAGGCTTTCCCTCTTCCCCTCCCCCCCCCCTCCTGCCCCAGGGCCCCTCTGCCCTCAGCTCCTGCTCCTGGGGCGGCCCTGGCCTCTGGTGGGTGCCGCAGGCAGGCAGAGAGCTGCTGGGGGCTGCAGCTGCTTCCGTAAGCACAGCCTCCCTCCCCCTCCCCCTCCCCCAGGCCCACACCCACAGGGTCCTGCTGCAGGGCCCCTGCCCCCATTGGGCTGCAGCCCCTCCCCTACTGCAGGAGCCAGGAGCTGGGCCCACGGGGCTCCCTCTGTTCCCTGGAGCCCCACCGTGCTATCTGCAGGCATAAGCATCCATCCCGGGCATCTTCCAAATGGCGTCTGTGGGTGACCTAGCAGGAGTCCCCCTGCTTGGGGGGATGCGTGCAGCTGGCACACCTACCTGTGTGTGTGCACGCGCGTGCATCAGGTAGGGTGGGTGGGATCCCCAAACATGGCTCCCACACGTAAGCCATGTGGCTCCGACAGGACCCTCAACCTCTCTCCAGGGACCCCTGCCTGCTCACCGTGCTTTGTCTGCCCGCAGGGAGCCGGCTGCTGGCGTGGGTGCTGTGGCTGCAGGCCTGGCGGGTGGCGGCGCCATGCCCAGGCGCCTGCGTATGCTACAATGAGCCCAAGGTGACGACGAGCTGCCCCCAGCAGGGCCTGCTGGCCGTGCCCCCCGGCATCCCGGCCGCCAGCCAGCGCATCTTCCTGCACGGCAACCGCATTGCACAGGTGCCCGCCGCGGGCTTCAGCGCCTGCCGCAACCTCACCATCCTGTGGCTGCACTCGAACGCGCTGGCCCGGCTCGACGCGGCCGCCTTCGCCGGCCTGGCCCTCCTGGAGCAGCTGGACCTGAGCGACAACGCACAGCTGCGCGCCGTGGACCCCGCCACGTTCCAGGGCCTGAGCCGCCT